CGCCTCTCTCCCTCTCTCTCCTCTCTCTCTCTCTCGCCCCGCTTCTCTCTCTCTCTCTCTCTTCTCTCTCTCTCCCCCTCTCTCTCTCTCTACTCTCTCCCTCTCTCTCTCTCTCTATCTCTCTCCTCTCTCTCTCTTCTCCCTCGCTCTTCCTCTCTCCCCTCTCCTCTCTTCCCATTCTCTATAGCTCCCCTCTCTCTCTCTCGTCTCTCTCCCTCGATCTCTCTCTCCCTCTCTCTCTACTCTCCCTCTCTCTCCCTCTCTCTCCTCTCTCCCTCTCTCTCTCTCCATCCCTATCTCGCCACTCTCTCTCTCTCTCTCTCCCCTCTCTATCCGACCTCTCTGTCCTCCTCTCTCTCTCTCTCCCTCTCTCCTCCTCTCTCTCTCCCTCCTCTCTCCCTTATCTCTCTCTCTCCCCCCTCTCCTCTCTCTCGCTCTCTCTATCTCTATCTCTCTTCTCTCTTCCATATACCTCTATCTCTCTCTCTCCCTCTTCTTATCTACTCCTCTCTCTCTCTCTCTCTCCCTCTCTATCTCTCTCTCCCTCTCTCTCTCTCTACCTCTATCTCTCTCCTAGCTCCCATCTCGCTCTTCTCTCCCTCTCTCTCTCTCATCTCCGACATATCTCTATCGATCTCTCTCCTCTCGCTCTCTCTCGCCTCTCTTCTCCTCGCTCCCTCTCGCTCTCTCTTACTCTGTCTCTCTCTACTCTCATCTTCGCTCTCTCTCTCTCTGTCTTCTCTCTCTAGGTTTTCTCTCTCTCTGTCTCTCTCTCTTCTCTCTCTCTCTCTCTCTCTCTCCTCTCTCTCTCTCTCTCCCCCTATCTCTCCCTCCCGCTCTCGCTCTCTCCCTCTCCCTCTCTCGCTTACCTCTCGCTCTCTCTCCCTCTCTCGCTCCTCTCCCTCTCCCTCTCTCTCATCTCCCCTCTTCTCTCTCTCCCTCTCTCTCTCTCTCCCTGTCTCTCTCTCTCTCCTCCCCTCCTCTCTCTCGCTCTCTCTCTCTCTTCTTCTCCTCTCCGCTCTGTCTCTCTCTCTCCCATCTCTCTCTCTCTCTTCTCTCTCTCTATCTAGACTCGCATCTCTCTCTCCTCTTCTCTCTCTCTCCCTCTCTCCTTCTCCTCCCTCTCTCTCTTCTCTCTTCTCTCTATCTCTCTCTATCCTCGCCCTCTCTCTCTATCTCTCTCTCGCGCTATCTCTCTCTCTCTCTCTCGCTCTATCTCTTCTGTCTCTCTCTCTCTCCCCCATCTCTCTCTCGCTCCCTCATTCATCTCTATCGCCTCCTCCTCTCTCTCACCTCTCTCATCTCTCCTATCCCCCTCGCTCTCTCTCGCTCCCCTCGCTATACCTCGCTCCGCTCCTCCCTCTATATCCCTCTCACCCCTCTCCCTCTCCCTCCCTTCATCTCCCTCCCTCTCCCTATCCCTCCCTCTCCCTATCCATCCCTCTACTCTCTAGCCCTCTCCATCTACATCTCTCTCTCCTGTGTTGCTCCCTCGTCTCCCCTCCGTTTCCTCTCCTCTTCTCTCTCGCCCTCCCCCCCTCCCTCGACCCCGTCTCCTCTGTTCCTCCCCCTTCTTTTTCGATTCGTCGGTCACTCCGCCCGGCGTGGACTGGCCCACCCTTCATGCCCTTCCCTTTTCCCCACCTATCCTCTTTCCCCCCTCTTCTTCTCTCCTTCTCTCGATCTATCTCTCATCTCTCTCTCTCTCTCTTCTCTCTCTCTCCTCTCTCTCTCTCGTCCCCCCCCCCCCAGTAACCTCCGTGGCCTTCCCCCCCGCGCCCTCGAGCCTTTGCGTGGGGCAGCCCCACCCATCCCCCGCCCGCTTCCCCGCCTGTCGCCTCCCGTCTCTATCCGTCCCCGCCCTCCTCCTGCCCGGGGGCGCACCGTAGCCCTCTTTTGCTTCTTTTGAATTCCTCCCTTTTGCGCCCTGCACCCTGGGTTCCCCTCCTCCGCCTCCTCCTGCTTGTCCCTCCTTTTCGGTCCCAGTTCCGCTTCCCCTTCACCCCTCCGGGCCTCAGGCATGTCCTGGCGTCTTCCTTCTTACTGGCTTTCTCCTCCTCTGCCTTTCCATTCAAGCGCCTCTGCTCCCTCTGTCGCTTCTCCTCCGCCCGGCCTGCCCACCTTGCGACCTCTCTGGTCCCGCCTCTCTCTGGTTCTGGCTTGCCTCTTTTCCTCGCCCCGCCCCCCCTCAACCTCTTGGGTTCTGTTTGCCCGTTCATTAAGACACGTGATATTGCTTGGCGACCTCATCCTTCTTTCTGGCTCCTCTTCCGTTCTACTCCCCAGGCGATTCCTCGTGCCTGTGGGCTCACTTCTTTTTTTTTTCCTCCGCCTTTCCTCCCTTTTTCGGCCGTTTTCTTCGTTCCAATCTCTTTTTGGCTTTGTCTCCTCACTGATACCTCTCCCTTCCCTTTCTTTCTTTTCTTTCGTTACCTCTGCGATAAATGAAATCCTACGCGTTCTTCCCTCCGTCGCACCTTCTCCCTCCTCCCTTTCTCTTCCCACCCGTTTAGGTGCCGTACCATGTCCGCGCGAGCGACCCGGACCCCGGGCTGGGTGGGCGGCTGTGCTGGGGGTCGCGCTGGCGCGAGGCTGCCGGACGATCTGCGCCCAGGACGAGGGACAGCGGGCCAGCGCGCGCGCGCGGACGGGAGCGCCGGTCGGGAAGGGCAAGGGAGGTGCGCGGGCGGGGCAGCGCGGCGCGGGACGCGCCGCGCCGCGCCGCGCCTCGCCGCGCGCTACGCGCAGCGCGAGCCGACCGAGCCGCGCCGCGCCGCGACCGCCGAGGCCGGGCGCCGCCGCGCCGCGCCCGACGCGGCGACGCAGCTCCGAGCATCGCCGCGCCGCGCCACGCCGCGCCGCGAGGCTCGGCGCGGCGCGGTCTGCGGGCGGGCGGGGCCCCGCCGCTGACGACGGCGGAGGTGGGATTGGGCGCGCGGTGGCGGTCCGGCTGGGGTGCCGGTGGCGTTCTAGGGGTGGGGGCGTCAGAGGCCCGCGCGGCCCGGAGGCCCAGTGGCGCAGCCGGCGGCCAGCAGCCAGAGGACCGCAGGAGCCGCGGAGAAGAGGAGATCCGCCGGAGCAGGCTGCAAAGGCCCGCCCGCGCACGGCGGCAGCGGCGAGGCGGCGGAAACGCCGCGGCGGCGTCCCGCGGCCGTCGAGGACCGCGGCACGGATGCAGGCGGAGGAGGACGAGCGGCGGCCGAGGAGGGGCAGAGGAGGCGGCGGCGGAGGCGGCGGCGGCGCGGCGGGCGGCGGCGGCGGCGGGCGGCCCGGGGCCGGCCGCGGCGGCGCGAGGCGCGGCGAGGGGCGCTCGGCGGCGCGGCCGCGGCCGACGCGGCGGCGCGCCCGACGCCCCGACGCGGCGGCACCGGCCGCCCCCGCGGCGGATCGGACGAACACGCGGCGGCGCCGGAAGCCCCGAGGAAAGAAGAGGACGCCGCGGCCGCTCCGCGGAGAGCTGAGGCGGCGGCGCGGCGGACGGCGCGAGCGCGGCGGCGGCGGCGGCGGACGGCGGCGGCCGGGGAGGCCAGGCGGGGGCTGCGGCGGAGGAGAGGGGGGCTTCGCCCGAAGGAGCAGGGGCTGCGCCCACCCCTCCGCCGCGGCGGCAGGCTGCGGCTTGCGGCCCGCGACCGGGGTGGTTAAAGCGGAGGCGGCCGGCGGCCTGCGTGGCGACAGCGGCGCTGCCGGGGCCCGAGCCTCCGCCGGCGCCGATCAGGCGCCGGTAGCGACGGCGCCCACGCGCGGCGGAGGCCCCGCAGGTTGCGCCGGGCCCCCCAGCCCCTGGGCCCTGGCGCCCCCCCGCGCGCCTGCCCCCGCCATGCCTGGTGGCCGACCGTGCCTCCTAGTGCCTTCCTCCGGCTCCCCCCACCCCGCTTTCTCCCTTCTTCGGCCTCGTGCCCCCCAATCCCTGGGCAGCAAGTCCAGCCCTCCTCCTCTGCCCCCTGACTGGCGCCCCTGCCCCTCGCTTCTTCCCGCCTGCTTGCGAAAGTCCGCCGCCCCCCAGCTGACTTTGGGTCCACCCCGGGTTTTTCTCGGCTTTTCTTGTACTTTTGTCCTTTTTCCTGTCAGGCCACGATTGAATCTTTTCTATGTTTTCCCAAAAAATGCAGCTAAAAGACTGATAAACACTCCTAATAATCCCAAACTGACATGCTGACCGGTGTAAAAACAAAAATTAAAAATAAAAATCCCTCGTGCACACTCAGATCCTCACCTTATCTGGCCATTCTGAGTTGCTGGTCATTGCTCTGCTGAGGACACTGCCTACGCATTTTTTTCCTACGCCGTTTCTCTCCTGGATGGGTTTCGGTTTTGGTGAACTCATGGTGAGAGAGGAAGTGTGAAAGCCAGAGACCGTCTTCTGCTCGTGACGTCGACGGGGGCGCTTATACGACCAACCTGTCAACGCTGCGATGACATGGAGCACTCGTAGAAAACTTGGCAGCTAGGGGGGACTATGCTAGATACAAGAAGCTCATAGAAAATTTGGTTGGTAGGGGGGACTATTCTAGATGCGAAAAGCTCGTAGAAAATTTGGTAGGTAGGGGGGACTATGCTAGATACGAAAAGCTCATAGAAAATTTGGTAGGTAGGGGGCACTATTCTAGATACGAAAAGCTCGTAGAAAATTTGGTTGGTAGGGGGATCTATTCTAGGTAAATGTGAATTTGGTTTGTCGGGCTATGCTTTTTTGTTTCGATATTTTTCATGCTGTCACTAGTATGGCTCATAATCACAGTTATAGAAATAATGGTATTGGATAGAAGTATAGCAGATTTATTCAATTCTAGAGTTTTGTTTTTTATGCCATCATATAGGGCTCTTTTAAATAAATGTTTAAACGCACAATAGTGAATTATGAATAATATGTGCTTACAACTAATGAACCCTGTTTCCCTTCACTGACTAGACTTATTCCAGTAAGAATACTTTCAGTAAGTATCCAAGGAATATATGATTTCCTCGACATAATGTTTTAAGGGTGTAATAATCTTCTGGATATGAAAAATGATACGTCTATTCGTAATATCAAATCGTGTACAGAAGACACTTCTTTCAACGAGGAAGAAAACAAGTAGTTTTACAAGCACTTCGGGCAAGTAGATAGCAAAGCGATGTTTTGTTATAAATTTCAATATATATACATTTTTTTTGCTTTTGTTACTGAACTAAGATGTTCGGTGTTTATATTGCATTGCCTGAATTCAGAATAGATCTATACCTAACAAGACATTTTATGCTAGACTTTTATATTTCTACCTGACGTACACCAAGCTCTTCATGATTAAATATTTCTAAATATTTATATTAAATATTTTTAAGCAATCTCTTATCTGACTTATCTCTTTTGCTTGACAGTGCTGTTAACAGTGGCACATTCCTCACCGGTAATCTCCTAATGTCTGAACATTTCAAAGTTCCATCGCTTCTTTAATGTGCACATTTGTTCGCGCGCTTCATGCGGCTGAAAGCAGGGTTGCCTTTCTCGGGTCTTCTTTTGTCTTATCATTCACAACAAGTCTAGGATATGTTAATACTTTCACGTTTACATGGTCTTTATTGTTTTCTTCGACGTTGTTTCATCATATGACAATGATTACTCTTGTAGTTTTACTGTCATCATATATTGACAATAGTGTAGGATGAACATCAAAAGTATTATTTTTCATTGTCATTACACTCTTTAGGTGTTTTTTTTTTGTTTTTAACAAACATTGGTAATACATGGGAAGCTGATAAAGATAAACACACACATACACACACACACACACACACACACACACACACACACACACACACACACACACACACACACACACACACACACACACACACACACACACACACACACACACAGATATGTATATGTATATATATATATATATATATATATATATATATATATACATATATATATATATATATATATATATATATATATATATATATATATATATATATATATATATATGTATGTATGTAATGTAGTGGAAGGATGCTGATATCCCCTCTCTCTTTCTAGTATGGGACTGCCGTTTGTTTCTTGAAGTGTTGTGGAGTAGAGTTAAAGTTGTAGCTGCTTCAATACTTTATTTCTGCGGTAGCGTGGTAGGTGGGATACAGAGGACGGGCAAGGCAGGGGCGCTCAGGGAAGAGCGGGGCGACCTGCCCGGCCCGCTGTGGCGAGCGGTCTGTCTGAACTGCTCAGAAATTTATCAGCAAACTTCGTTTTAAAACATTTCATAATGAAAAACATGAAAGAATCTGAGTGAACATAAATTCCTATACATATGGTAACATGGCGGTTTCGTGGTGAACGAACAAGGGTACCTTATGTACACGGTTGTATGTAAGAAGAGCTATGGTGTTTACACGACTAAAAAGCTTCGCGATAAGTAGACAAAAATGCAGTGTACACAAACATAAAGACATTTGAATATAGGCAATGTTAGCGGTAACACAATTAGTAATTCAGAATAAGCACTTTCCAACGAACATTTTGAGTATAAACAACATATAATTATACACATAGACAACAGAATAATAGCACGGGAATTGTTCACAAGCAATAAGGGTTGGATTAGCGTGTTCTATGGTCATTTGTCATTTTCACCGGTGTAGACCTGTTGGAGTCGGCTGAGGACAGTGGAATTACTGTGAGATAAGGAACAAATGGCTTTTCTGGTATGTAAGACGAGGGAGATCACGAGAACAGGTCACTAGAATGTATGTATGTATGTATGTATGTATATATGTATGTATGTATGTATGTATGTATGTATGTATGTATGTATGTATGTATGTATATCACCATACCTTGCCGGGTTTCCAAAGAAAAACGGAGCATTGTTATCTCAGCCGACCCATTGCAGCATTTGATATCAAATACCTGTGAACATGGACTTTGCGAAGAGGCATGCAGGCGCGGGGCCGGGCGAGAGGCGAGTCCCCCCTCGGCGGAGCGTTTTCCTCGGCGCCGCAACAACACGGGCCGAGGAAGGTTTCACAAGCGCCCGAGAACATCACTGAGTTCTGCTAAGAGGAAGGCTCGGTCGAGGGCTGAAAAATTGTCTTGGTAAGCCAGTATCCACGTAGGAACTACAAGAACCGTCCATGATCATCCACAGTTAGGTAATGTAAGTATACGGGGCAGTAAGTGACGACGTAATTGTTTTGGATTCTTAGGCCAATGCTGCATAGTGACAGTTCCTGAGAACATCGGATTCAATTAAAAGTTCAGTTTTATGGTAAAAATGATTACCATCAAATGATTTACCCCACAAATGCGATCCCGCGAGCTGCACCAATGGCACAAGTGGCCTTGAGTTGCTTATATCACGAAAAAAAGACTTACGACACTTTTATACGTTGCTCGCTGTTCATTAGCAACATTCTCAGTCCAGATAGCTTTAGAAGGCTTGGAATATACCAGGATATTGAAGGAATTCAAGTAGAGTGATACAATTGGAAAATGGTAATGGTTGCCCCCTTAGTTTGTCTACAGGGATATGGAAAAAATATATGCAGTCATTAGCTTTTGATATCTGTTGATCATTGTGGATTAGGGATCTCTGTGGCCCCAAGGATCATCAGACAGCTTAGGCAAGTGTGTCCAGGGAGGGAACTGGGAGCTCTTGCTGCAGTAAGACACCAAATTACTGATAGATTGTGTGATGTTGATCTACCAGTGTAAATTCAGTTTCGGTCTTACATTTAGAAGGGAAAATTTAACGTCTTCGGGTTAAGAAGGATTTTTTTTTTCCTGAAGTTGTGTTTTTTCTTCACATGGGGTATGTGTTTTTAATCCACTTATCTGTTTTCACCCCATAAGTTACCTGTTATGACATCCAAGATTGTGTTTATTAAATGCTCAGTGACAGGTGAAAGAATCATAAATCTTTTCAATATGATGTAAGCTATCCATGCATAAGGATTTTGCCTGGGTATGGCAAGCAGTTTTTATGTTAATATAGAACTGTAGAATTATGGTATAAGCTTATCTTTTATGGACCATATACAGTATACTTTCCTTGGCCCCATTGTGTAATTAATGTGATTTTATCATAAAGTGTCAGATATATCTTGTGCTTGTGTTACTCACATATTCATGAAAAGTGTTGACCTCAAGTAGGGCAATGCAATCCATGATTAAGAAAAGCAGGTTGCACATATGTACTGTGGCCAACAGCAAGCTCAGCATGGCTATCCTACCCTGTTGGATTTGACAGAAAGAGTTATAGATATATCAAGAGGGTTCTAGATTTGTCTTGTTGGCCAGTAAAGAGTTAATTTCGGAACAGCAAATTTGTTATCTGCAAGATGGTATACCAGTATTCCTAATAGTAATGATGAATACTCTTTCTCTATAAATGTTTTTTTGATAGCCTATGTTTAGACTGTATAAAAACTTGAAATACCCTTTTCTTATTCACAAGTATGTGTCATTAATGAATTTATACATTTCATCGTACAGACTAAGGATAGGCACATGATTAGATTAGACCTGTCCTTACAATGCTGTGAACTCCTTTTAGGATATCTGTATATTAATTGTTGCTTTAGGAAAGGAAATCTACACATTCTGCTTTGTGTATATATGCACTGATGATAATAATTTTTGTGATAGATTTGATATGCATATATTTTTTGTGAGCGTATAGTATGTCTGCGGTATGTAGGTATAATCCTGATATATTTAATTTATATTGTGCATATATGATATTTATGAATTTAATTATTACAGTAAGAAAATGGAAGGGTCAGCTGCAGTGACTCAGATGGGGTCAGAGGATGCAGAAGGTAAAGGTTTCTCCGCCCATACAATATTTAGCACATATCGGCCGCCTCTCTTCAGAAGGCCTCCAAAGAAGCTGAGTCTCTTACAGCTACAGAGAAAGAGAGAAATCCAGGTAAAAATCTTGTAATTATGTATATTTGTTTGATTTTAATTCATGTATTGCTATAGAAAAAAAATTAGAGAAATGCACCATTTTGACATGCCCCTCAGGAAAATTTGTAGTGAAGAGACATCTTTGAAAGGTCCACATGATCAGATTCCATAGTATCTTGGATTTTATTGTCTAAAAAAAAAAAGAAGAAAAAAAAAGAACTTCACCCATAACATTCTTTTAAATTGGCTTTCAGGATGTAACCTGGCAGAGTTTTACAAGACAAAACCAAATGACAAAGTCTTTGGTATATCGACTAGGTATTACAAAGCAATTAGAAGGCCATAGAGGCTGTGTTAACTGCATTGAATTTAATACAGAAGGAAGGTAA